CAGCGCGGCTCAGACCCCCCCCTCGCCCCGCCAGCTGGGGAGCAGGGGCTAATGCCAGAGAAATCAATTTGTCCTGGTGGCCCCCGGCAGGCACCCAGCCTGCAGAGCCGAGCTCGGGATTGGGTTTGTTTCCGATTCCTTCCATGCCCCACACAGCTGAGGTCCGGGTCCTGCGGCGCAGAAGCGGCTCCAGCACCTCGGGGGCGGCTGGGGGAAGGGATGGGTTTGGTTTTAGGAGCTCACTGTCACGGGACGCAGCAGCGCTCGGCTCCCAAGGCCCGAGAAGCGCAGCGGGAGAAGCAGTACGGGGTTGGGATCGCCAGCTGAGCCCATGAAAGCGGCACCCCATTTGCAAAGCCTCCGTTCTCTGCTTTTCATTGGGAAATTGAAATTTGGAGGACAACCACCTCCCAGTCAGGCACCGAAGCCACCCCCCTGCCCAGAGGGGTGCCGGGAACGTTTTATTTCCCAGCTGGGTTTGAGTACTGGAAGCCACATCTCCTTCCAGCCCCACAGGCTCCCCTACAGGGACCTCTCCAGCCCCGCATGGAGCGCAGCAAAGCGGCTCTCGTTGCGCAAAGCCCGCAGCGGCTTCTCCTCCGCTCCCTTCCCTGTTCAGCAGGCTGGCAGCTGGACCGGGGCAGCTCTCCCAGACCCATTTTTGCTGCATTACTCACCCGGCACCCGCTCTGCTTTTGGCCTCGGCCAGGCTGCAGCACGGCAAGGCACGCACCGAGCTGTCACCGTCCCAGCCGCGAGTGGCCGCGGCCAAAGCGGGCGTGCGCGAGTCCGCAGGGCGAACCGAGCTGCCGCTGTAAAACGCTGCTGATAACGCAGCCCCAGGGAAAGTGCTGGAACAGGACGGCCTCAGGGAGCTTTGCCCTGCCCTGTGCCACCCCTCGAGGCCGGGCTGGAGGCGTCCCCGCGTCCCTGCAGCCACCGCTCGGTCCCAGGAGAGCAAAGTTTGGCGGCGTGGGGTGTCCTAACCAGCGCTCTGCCAGCCCTGCTGCCAAAATTTGGGGTGTTGGACCTAGCTCTAGCTACTCAGCACCGCGGCAGCTAAGCTTCCCCCCTCGAAATGCAAGATGTGGGGTGATGCAACGTTAAGAGCAGCAGCAGCAGCAGCAGCGTCCTGACCCATTTGAGGCTGATTGCTGCACCCGGCTGGGACAACGCTTGCAGGCGGGGAATGCCAGCGCGCAGCATTCCTGGCCCTTTATTCACTGCAGGCGCTAATTAAGGGCAGAAATTGGGAGTTAGGAGGGAGTTACTCTGGGGGCAGAAGTGCGTCCCTTCCCCTCCGCTTTCTCACCCCCCCCAGCACCCAGGCAGGGCCCTGAGCCCCACGCCGGGTGTCCGGCTCCAAGCGGGCAGACGCAGCAGGGCGCACGCGCGGCACCACCACCGTGGGGTGTTTTTTTGGCTGGCGATTCTCCTTCCTCGCATTTAAGCCGCCAAATTATTTCGAGATACTTCGGAGAGGCGGCCGAGCTGCCCGCCGGCGCACACGTGGGGGGGGAAAAAAGCTTTGGGACAAAAGCGTCAGAGCTGGTGTCCAGTTTCAGGCCTGCCACCCAGCAGTGACTCGGTGACCTCTGGGGAGAGCACGGGCAGTAATGACAGAGCTCAGCCCGGCCCAGTGGGACCCCACCTGCCACAGAACGCGGTTAATGGGAATTGGGAAATGCCTTTTATTTTTTTTTTCCCCTCCTTCCTTAGAACCAAACCCACCAGCAAGAGGCCAGGAAGGAATTCAAGGTTTGATTGCAGGGCAGCCAGGCAGCCGCTCACCGCGCCCTGCCCAGCCTAGGGGAAGAACTCGAGGGAGAGGCAAAAGGTGCTGAGCACAGCGCTACGGGCGCGGCGTGGGGCACGTGGAGCTGCCCGGCACGGCACATGCCGGCCCCAGGGGCTCCGGGGGGACCGGGGCTGGGGGGCGCTGGGCTGGGGGACCCCGAGGCTGGGGGGAGGCCCAGGGCTGGGGGCTCCGGGGCTGGGGGCTCTGGGCTTGGGGTGTCCGGGGCTGGGGGCTCTGAGCCCGTGGGTGCCGGGCCCGGGGAGCTCAGGGCCCCTGGGGCTGGGGGGCTGCGTGGCCTAGGGTCACCGGAGGTCACCAGAGGTCACCAGGGGTCACCAGGGGTCACCAGAGGTCACTGGGGGTCACCGGGGGTCCTCGCTGCCCCCACGTGCGGCCGCGCTGGCTCCGAGTCCCCGCCCCCTTCCCCCTCCCCCCCAATCAGCGCCCTCCCCCCCTCCCGCGCTCCCCCCCATTGGCCGCGCAAACTGCCCATCCCCCTCCATGCCCCGCCCCCTCCCTCCCAGGCCCCGCCCCCTCCCTCCCCTGACCCCGCCCCCCTCCCGCGCAGGCCCCGCCCCCGGCCCCGCCCTGAGGCGCCCGGGCGGCGGCGCCAAGGACACCGGGGAGCGCCCGCGGCCCCCCCCCCGGCCCCACCGCCGCCGCCGCGCCCCTCCCCCGGCCATCCCCGCCCCGCTCCGCCCTGCCCCGGCCCCGCCGCCGCCCCCCGGCCCGGCCCGGCCCGGCCCCGCCGCCCCCCGCCCAGCCCCGTACCTGCCGGCCCGCCCGTCCGCCCCGCTCGCGGCCCCGGCTCTGACAGCGGCCCCCAACCGCCGACTGCCGCCCCGCGCCGCTGACGTCACCGCGTAGCCACGCCCCCCCTCCCCGAGGCCACGCCCACGCCGCGCGCCGCCCAGGCGCGGCTCGCCCACTGCGCATGCGCGGCTCCCCGGGAGGAGCGCGCGCGCGCGCTCGCGGGGACACGTGGGGGGAGAGGGGAGCTGGGGGGTGGCGGGGCGGGGGGACACTGCGGGGGGGGACACCGGGCATGGGGACACCGAAAGTGGTGTGGGGACAGACGTGGGGCAGCAGCGTGGTCATGGACATCCAGCATGGGGACAGTGGTGTGGGGTCATTGGCACAGGGACACTGGGGTGGGGACATCCACCAAGGCATGGGGACATCGGCATGGGGACAGTGGTGTGGGGACACCCACCAAGGCGTGGGGACATCAGCATGGGGACAGTGGTGTGGGGACATTAGCATGGAGTGGGGACATCAGCATGGGGACACTGGGGTGGAGACATCCACCAAGGCGTGGGGACATCGGCATGGGGACGTTGGTGTGGGGACATCGGCATGGGGACACTGGCAGTGGTGTGTGGCATCCAGCATGGGGTCACTGGGGTGGGGACATCAGCATGGTGTGGGAATGCTGTCCTTGGGGACACCCAGCATCATGTGGGGACATCTGCTGTGGTGTGGGGACGCTGGCCATGGGGACACCAAACATGGTGCAGGGACGTCCACTGTGGTGGTGGGACATCCACCAAGGTGTGGGGACACCTGACATGGTGTGGGGACACCCATCATGGTGTGGGGACATCAGCCATGGGGACACTGGCTGTGGTGTGTGACATCCAGCATGGGGACATTGGTGCGGGGACATCCATCATGGTGTGGGAATGCCGTCCTTGGGGACACCCAGCATCATGTGGGGACATCTGCTGTGGTGTGGGGACATCCACCATGGTGCAGGGACACCTGACATGGTGTGGGGACACCCATCATGGTGCAGGGACATCCACCAAGGTGTGGGGACATCCACTAAGGTGTGGGGACATCCAGCATGGTGTGGGGACATTGGCCATGGGGACATCCAGCATGGTGTGGGGACATTGTGGGGACATTGGCCATGGGGACACCTGATATGACGTGGGGACACCCATCACAGTGCACAGACATCCATTATGGGGACATGAGCTATGGTGTGGGGGATGTATGGGATATTTGCCACAGGGACATCTGCCCATGGGGGGCTTCTGACATCATCTGGGGACATCCACCATGGAGACACCTGGCATGGGGACACCTTGACCCAGGGCACCTGGTGGCACGGGGGGGCCGTGGGGCCATGGTCGCAGCCCTGAGTCACGGTCCCACGGGCGGCGGCGCTGTTCTGGGAACTGAAACGGTCCCAGGAAAACACCGGGGCCACGCACGGCCCCGGCCCGGCCACCGTGGCGCAACCCCACGGAGCCAACCGGCTGGGGGACATCCTGCAGGCATGCACAGCGGGGACAGGGACGGGGTCACGGCAGTGGGGAGACGCCTGGGCTGCGGTGAGAAGCGTCCCCAAGGAATTGGTGTCCCCAGAGGGAGCGTCCCCAAGGGGGTGGCATCTGAGGTGGATGGGGCTGATGTCCCCGTGGGTGCGCTGTGCTCCGTGCCCTCCCAGGGGGCTGGGGGCTGCATGGGGCGGTGGAGGGGACCCGTGGGGTCCCTGCGGCCGCTGGCAGCTGGCAGGAAGTTGTGGGTCCGGGTGGGGAAATCGTCGAGCGGCCACGCTTGCGCCACCGTCCCCTTCCGGGGTGGCCGGCCTTGCCCCAGCCCTGACGAGAGCGAGCGTCATCGTGGGCGCCGGGGCAGTCCCCGGTGTGTCAGCCCGGACACTGCCGGACCGCACGCTAGCGCCAGACCCAGAGCATTGACCCCATTCTGTGCGCCACACTGACCCCAAAACATCGCCCTGCCATGTCCCCACACCAACCCCAAAGTACCGCTCTGCTGCGCCCCACACTGACCCCAAAGCACTGCCCTGCTGTGCCCCACACCTACCCCAGAACATCGCCCTGCGGCTGTGCCTCACTCTGACCCCAAAGCATTGCCTCACCATGCCCCAAAATGACCCCAAAGCATCGCCTTGTCTGCCCCCCACTGCCCCCAAAGCATCGCCCTGCTGCTGTGCCTCACTCTGACCCCAAAGCATCGCCCTGCCATGCCCCACACCGACCCCAAAGCATCGCCACGCCAACCCCAAAGCACTGCCCGGCCGTGCCCCACACGTGGAGCCGATGCCCGCAGGCAACGGTGGGGCCGCAGCGAGCGGCGTGCCGGGGCAGAGCGGAAATGGGCGAAGCTGAGCATTGCGAAAGGTGGAAATCCCGCTCTGACTGCGCTTCCTTCCAGCCGCGCTTGAAAACCCGGCACACGGCGGCGGCCAGGCTCAGAGTGCACCCAAGCGCTGCTGCCAGCAGGACGAGCAGGAGCAGGGCCCCGGCACCCCGCAGCTTTCGCCCTCAGGTTTCCCGTTCGGCGTGAAGATGGCGTTCGTCCCCGACCTGGACGTGCTGGAGGGCGGCAGGTGAGTGCGGCCGTGCCGGTGCGCCCCGGGGGCTGTGGGGCCGGGTGCTGCTGCAGCCCTGGTCTCACCTCCCCACCCCGCTTTGTCCTGGCAGCCTGAGCGAGGAGACCTTCTACGGCCCCGACTGCCTGTACCCACCGAAGGTAACGCCGGGAGGAGCCTGTGGCACCGCGGCACGGCGGCACCGTGGCACCGCGGCACCGCGGCGCGGCATCGCACGGCGCTCACCTGCGGCCTTCTGCCCCCAGAAGCTTCGCCTGGACTCGGAGGCAAAGCACGGCCAGAGCCGCACCACGGTGGACGTCCAGGTGACGGTGACGCCGGGACACGGCGCCAGGAGGTTCCGCCAGGCCGCCACCCTGGTGGTGGCCGCCACCAAGATGCTGCGGAGGCCGTCGCACCAGGACTTCGCCGACAGCGACCTGGGCGGCTTCCTGGAGGAGATTTTCGGTAGGGACGCGGTGCTTGGAGGAGGGGTGGCTGGAGGTGGAGGGGGGCTGTGGGCTGACACCCCCTGACCGTCCACTCCCCCCGCAGAACCCGTCACCTTCCAGAGGCTTGAGAGCAGCTACGCCGGCGCCCCCGTGTACCGCTACACCCGCTCCCAGTCCTTCGATATCTACGACATCAACCACAAGTGCTTCATGCTGGATTCGCCCACCCAGCTGGTGGCCCTGCACGTGCAGGGGCCCTTGGCCAGCCGCAAAGGTGAGGGGACCGCGTCCCTGTCCCCGTCCCCACCCCGTGTCCCCGGGGGGCACCCCCTGACCTGTCCCCTTCTCTCCGCAGTGAGGCTCAACATCGCGCTGTACCGGCCCCACACCCGGCCGGGCAGCGCCGGGGCCATGGGGATGCCGGTGGCGCTGGGCATCAAGGGCTACAAGCTCTACATGTCCTGCGTGATGAGCGGCAGCGAGCCCGTGCTGCAGCTGGAGGTGAGTGTCCCCAATATCCCCAATGTCCCCAATGTCCCCGTGGGGATGGCACCGCTGTCCCCGCCGCCTCCCGCTCACCCCCCGGCTTGTCCCCCCCGCCGCAGGAGGCCGACGTCATGAGGGACATCGACAGCGCCGAGCTGACCCGCTTCATCTTCTACCGCCTGGACAGCCCGGCCGAGGGCACCACGCGCTTCGAGTCGGCCGCCTTCCCCGGCTGGTTCATCTGCACCTCGCGGCAGTCCTGGCAGCCCGTGGGCATCACCAACCAGCCCGACCAGGTCAACATCGCCACCTACAAGCTGAGCGGGCGCTGAGCCCGACCCCGACCCCGACCCCAACCGGCAGTCACCGGTTGCCTCGCCGTATGTACCGAGTACAGCCCGCGGCGCCGCCCTGCCGCCCGCGATATTTCAGGTGAAATAGCCCCCATGGGCCCCGTGGGCCCGCCTCGCTCCCCCCCGCCCGCTGTTCTGGGGCTGCGGCCCCCCGGTTATCGAGTTATTTATTGTGCTCTCACACTTATTGCGCTGGTTTGCTTCTTATCGCGCTTTTACACTTATTTATTGTGCTGATCCACCTGTTTTTAGGCTTTTACACTTATTTATTGTGCTGATCCACGCACTGTGATTTTACCCCCCTGCTGTTCCCTGTATTTATTGAGCATTTATTTATTGTAATTTTACTTATCGTGCTGTCCCTGTACTTTTTACACTTATTTATGGTGCAATTACACTGATTGGGTCATTACACTTGTTGTGGTGTCGCACTTATTGAGGTTTCACACTTATTTATTGTGCTTTTTACACTTTTTACACTTTTTACCGTATTTTTACGCCCATTTACTGCGCTGAGCCCAGCCCCAGGCCCAGGCCCAGCCCCCAAACCCCAGACCCCTGACCCCAGGCCCAGCCCCAGCCCCAGCCCCCAAACCCAGGCCCAGGCCCCAGACCCCAGACCCCAGGCCCCAAACCCCAAACCCCAGACCCCAGGCCCCAAACCCAGGCCCAGGCCCAGGCCCAGGCCCAGACCCCAAACCCAGGCCCAGCCCCAGCCCCAGACCCCAGACCCCAAACCCAGCCCCAGGCCCAGGCCCAGGCCCCAAACCCAGCCCCAGACCCCAAACCCCAGACCCCAAACCCCAGACCCCAAACCCAGGCCCAGCCCCCAGCCCCCAGCCCCCAGCCCCCAGGCCCCAGGCCCCAGGCCCCGCCCCAGCCCCGCCCCCTCCCCTCGCCCCGCCCACCCAGGCCCCGCCCCCATTTATGCTAATTAACGCACGCGCCCGCCATTGGTCCCCACCCCCTGCCGGCCCCGCCCCCTCGGCCCCGCCCCTCCTCCCGTCACCGCCCCCCGCCTCCCGCCCCGACCAATGGCCGCCCGCCGTGCCCCGAGCCCCGCCCCCTGCCGCGCTCCTCATTAGGTGGTTCGAAGGACGCGGCAGCCAATCAGCGCGGGGCGGGTGGCGGTTAGGGGCGGGTGGGCGGGGGTCCGGACATGGCGGCGGCGGCGGCTGAGCAGGGTGAGGGCCGGGGGCACTTCGGGCATCTTCGGGGGCATTCGGGCACCTCCGGACACCTTCGGGGGTCCTCGGACAACTTTGGGGGCGTCTTCGGGAGCCTTCGGGTATCCTCGGAGGCGTTCGGGCATCTGTGGGGGCACCTTCGGGGGTCCTCGGGCACCTTCGGGAGCCTTCGGGTATCTTCGGGTATCTTCGGAGGCGTTCGGGCGCATTCGGGCATCTTCGGGGCATCCTCGGGGGCATTCGGGGATCTTCGGGCGCCTTCGGGTCTCGGGGCTGCTGCTGGGCAGTGAGGGGGGGTCCCCATGGGGCAGGGAGGTCCCCACAGATCCGGGGGCGGTGTTAGGGGCGGTATTGGGGGGGTTTTGGGGTGCTGGGGGTGTCCTCGGAGCCGTGGGGGCGGTGCCTGGGGGCTGCCAGGTGGGGCCGTGCTGGGGGAGCCCCCAGGGTGTGGGGCTGGGGGGGGCTTCACCGAGGGGGCCCTGGTGCCCCCACCCCGCTGCCCTTCCCCGAAAGTGGGGGGCTGGGGCTCATGGGGGGGCTCAGGGGACGTTTAGGGGATGCGCTGAGCAGGGATGGAAGGCTGAGGGCTGGGGGGGGCACTGGGGTCTGGCAGAGCGGGGTGGGGGGAAACCCTTAAACCCTTCTGAAGGAGCTCTGGTGTCTGCTGGGGGGCTGGGATCCTGTGCTGGGGGAGCCTGGGGGGGTGTCTGGGAACGGCCCCACAGGGAGCACGGGGGCAAAAAATGTGTGAGGGGGCCTCCAAGTGCTGGGGGCTGCGCGTGCTGTGTCTGCGTGGAGTCACAGAGCACCCCGAGTTGGAGGGGACCCACAGGGATCATTGAGGCCAGCTCCTGGGTCCCCAAAAGGACCACCCCAAAATCAGATCGTGTCTGGGAGCAGGTGTCCAAAGCCTTGCTGAGCTCCAGCAGGCTCGGGGCTGTGACCCCTGCCCTGGGGTGCCCGCTCCAGCACCCAGCCCCCCTCTGGGTGCGGAACCCCCCACGTCACAGCTTCAAGCCGTTCCCTCGGGCCCTGACCATCTCCTGATCCTTCCCTACCCTCTCTTTGCAGACAAGCGCAGGAGGCAGCTCCAGGAGTACCTGGCAGCCAAAGGAAAGCTGAAACAGCCAAGCACCAAGTAAGTCACGGTGTGCAGCCTGCGTCCTCTGCCTTGTCACTGCAGCAGCTCCCCAACGGGGACAGCCTCAGTCTCTGGGCCACCACGGCCTGGGACAGCTCTGGTCCCGCAGCACCCCTGCTGTGCTCTCACCTGGCAGCACAGCTGTGGTCTCAGCACTGATATTCCCTGCTGGAAACATCTCCTCTGGGCGTCTTCTGAGCCTCCACCAAACCTTATTTTGGGTTTTGAGCACGGCTTCTTGCAGCAAAGGCACTGCTGGGCCTTGAAAAAGGGTCATCCGAGCTTGAGTGCTGCTTTTGGCAGCCTTCTGGGGCAGGCCGGAGTCAGGAAGAGGCTTTTTTGGTGCAGCTTAAAAGCACAGAAATAGTGAAGCTGGGTATGACCCTCAGAGCTCTTAGAGCTGCCTGGCTGGACAACCCCTTTGCTGCTGGGCTCGGTGCTGCAGAAGCTGGGCCGTGCCGATGCGCTGCCACGAGCAGCCCCTTGCAAGGCCTCGCTCTGCAGAGCTTTGAACTGGAACTGCCGAGCAGTTGAGGCTCTGCTGCAGTATTCCTCATGCTGTTGTTGGGAGCCAAAAAACTTCCCCATGGAGAGAAGACAAAGGGAAGCGGGACCAGAAAGGGTGAACCAATCCCTGATGCCAGGCTCCGAAAAACACCACAGATAGAATATAAACCAAATCCATGATCTTAATGGCATAGTACTGCAGTTGGTGCAGAGCAGAGGACAGTACCCGAACTCTCCGGGCTCTCCGGTTGCAGTGAGGTGTCTGCAGGGGTGTCAGCCTTGCCTGGCAGCTGGGCTGAGTTCCTGTGCTGGTTTTACTTAGGTGGCCGACTGAGGTCCACCACAGCCGCTCTCTCATTCCCCCTCCTCAAAGAGGAACAGGGAGAAAATACGATGAAAAGGGCTCAAGGGTTGAGATAAGGACAAGGAGATCACACAGTAATTATTGTGACGGGCAAAACAGACTCAGCATAGGGAGACAGTAAGATTTATTACCTGTTACTAACAAGCTAGAGAAGTGAGAAACAAAGGAAAGAAACCAAAAGCACCTTCCCCCCCATCCACCCTCTTCCACCTCCTCCCCCTGAGAGGCGCAGGGGAATGGGGGTTATGGTCAGTCTACAGCACTTCTTCTCTGCCGCTCCTTCTCGGTCACTCTCGTCCCCTGTGCTGTGGGGTCCCACCCACGGGATGCAGTCCTTGACGAACTGATCCGGCGTGGGCTGTCCACAGGCAGCAGCTCTTCCAGAGCTGCTCCAGATATGGGTCCTGTACCACGGGGTCCATCCCTCAGGAGCAAACTGCTCCAACCTGGGTCCCCCACGGGCAGCAGCTCCTGTCAGCCCCCCTGCTCCTGCGTGGGCTCCTCTCCATGGGCTGCTGCTCCAGCCTGGAATCTGCTCTGGTGGGGGTGCTCCACAGGCTGCAGCCTCCTCCAGGGCACATCCACCTGCTCCACCTGTGGGCTCCTCCACGGGCTGCAGCGTGGAGATCTGCTCTGCCATGGGACCCATGAGCTGCAGGGGGACATCCTGCTCCACCAGGGGCCTCTCCACACCGCAGGGGGCTTCTGCTCCGGCACCTGGAGCACTTCTCCCCCTTCTTCACTGACCTTGGCACCTGCAAGGCTGTTCCTCACTCCTCTCACTCTCCCAGCTGCTGTGTGGCACAGCATTTTTTTTTTCCCTGTCTGAAATCTGCTCTCACAGAGGCGCAAACAGCATCATTTATTGGCTCAGCTCTGGTCAGCAGTGGGTTCCTCACCTAACGTGGGGCAGCCTCTAGCTCCTTCTCACAGGAGCCACCCCTGCAGCCCCCCGCTACCAAACCCTTGCCGTGTAAACCCACTGCAGGTCCCAAGCCAGCTGTGGGAGCAGAGGCTGGGGGAACCCTGCTGCTCCTGGCTGCCAGCGGGTGGGCTGCTGAGGGGCTCGCAGCGGGTGCTGGCGCGCTCCGAGGCGCCGCCGTGACGGCTGCACGGCCCCAGTGGGCTGGGGAAATGGGGTCCCAGCTGGGCAAGGGGCGGTGCGAGCTGTCCAAGCCCATCGCATCCTGCCTGCCCGGCCCCTCGGCTGCAGGAAACGCTTTGATGGCTTTTCTTGGCAGCGGCGGTCGTGAGCTGTGTGACAGCCCCGGGTGTCAGCCTATTGTGCCGCTTTTCCGCTGCCGCACGGGAGAAAAAGGAACGTGACGTGGTGCTTCCTTGGCAGCTTTTTGATTTCGAAAGGCTTCTCGGAAGCTCCGGTTGCTGAAACAACTGCAAGTGTTTCAGGTATTGAACCTCTGCTGAGAGAGCTGCTGGATACCCTGATAACTTGTTTGCCTTTCTGCAGGCCCTATTTAAATGACCGGATTAATCGCCTGGATCCAGTCCTAAAACCAGTTTCTAAACCAGAACATGTAAGTAGAAGAGAAATCTTTTCAGTCTGGTTTTACGTCTCATGCTTGAAGCACGTCCAGGCAGAACAGGGTCCACAAACCAGGACAGCGAGTTCCTGACCCCAAACGAGCTGCAGCCAACGTGTTGCTAAACAGCTGGCAATAAGACAAGTCATTATTTTGCAGAGGAACTCAGGCCGAGAGACTTGCCCTTCATCTGGGTGCTGGCGGGTGTTGTGTTGGCAGCCGCTGTGATGCTGCTGTGCCCCCCTGGGCTGGCAGGGCCGGGGTAGGAGCGAGCTGCTGGGGTTTGATCAAGCTGAGCCCTCCTCATCCTTTTGGGCTTTGAGACCTCTGGGCCCTGCTGGTTTTGGGGCTGAGTTTCACCTTGTCTCTCTCCAGGCTAACAGGAACAAGAGGGATGTTCTCCCAGACGTGGCGTTGGATGCTGAGAAGGACAGCAAGGCCACCCGGTCGCACGGGCGTGCTGCCCCACAGAAATTTCCAAGTACATCGTGGGGAGCAGCTGTGGTACATCCAAAGCAGCCGGGGAAGAGCACAAAGCTGTCCTCAGGGCTTGTACCAGGTGTGAACCCTTCTGCACCTCCCAGAGGGAGGCTCCCAGCTTCTGCCTCTGGTTCCCTAAACCCAGGAGGGACTGAGGAGACCGCGTGTGGTGGCCCCGCTCCTGGGGAACCTTGCTTGTGGAACGAGGGCCTGCAGGAACAGCTAGAGAGCAACAAAGAGAACTTCTCAGCACAAGCAGCTACACACCTTGTGCAGAGCAGAGCTTTTCAGTCAGATGGAAACAGCGTCATGAACAAGAGAGCCTTGGCTCATAGGCAAACCTCAGGCACTGTGTCAAGGACAATTAATAGCTGCCAGGCTAAGAAAACACTGATTCAGGACAAATTCAGGAAGTCTCTGCCAAGCTCAAAGAGTGCATCTCAAAAACCAAGTGACAAAACCCAACTGTTGCAACCCCCTCGGGCACTTGCTGTTTCTACTAACTTGCTACACAAAAAACCAGCAGTAAAACATGAAAAAACGAGTACAGCAGGGCAACCTGTAGGAAAGCTACTTGGCACGCTACCGGGGGGAAGCCTTCAGCACCACAGTAGGGCTCTCCAAGCGAAAAGATCTCCCCCGAAGCCTCCAGCCTCCAGCAGGCCCCAGGGGACCACAACCCTGGGGTCCACGAGGACCCCCAGCGTGAGGCTGGGCGCCGTGGTGTCAGAGCGAAGGCCCGTGGTTAAAGGGGGGGCAGAGAGGAAGGACGTGAAGGCGCCGCCCAGACACACTGGCGTTGTCCCAAGCCAGAGCCACCATGGGCCGGTCTCACAGCCCCAGAGCTCAAGGGGCTGTGAGCAGGAGGGAGAGGCTGAACCCGCCGCAGGCATGCGGGGTGCACGCAGGGCGCGTCCCCAAAACCCCGACGGCTGAGGATCGGAGGTGAGTCGCACCTCGGGCTGGCTCCGTCCTTGCCTCCAGGGGACAGCAGAGCACAGAGCTGCTGAGCCGGCTTCCACCTGCAGGGCCGGGCTCCCTCAGCCAGCTGCTGGGTGGAGGAGGGCAGGATGGGGTTTGGGGCTGCTCTGGGATCCCCTTTCCCCCCTGCGGTTTGGCAGTCCCCTACCGTGCGTAACGCAGCCAGCAGCGCGTGGTCGCAGTGGCTGGCAGGGGGAGCCTTGCTGGTTCATGCTGCTGCCAGAGGAGAGCAGTGCAGCTGCTCTCCTGTTCAAAAATCTTCAAAACACACAAATTTGGGCGGGTTTGCCTTGCCCAGTCTGGCTCAGATGAGTTTTTAGGTTAGAGTTCCCACCGAGCAGCTGAATCTGGCTAGAGTGAGATCCAAAGGGAAGATGGGGAATAGCTCAGCAAGTGCTGGTGGTCAGAAAGTGGTGGTAACGGCGATCCCTTGGTCCCTCAACAGGAGGCAACTGGAGCAGTGGTTGGCATCCAAAGGCAAGACCTACAAACGGCCACCTATGGTGCAGTCCAAAAAAAAGACAGTGAGAGAGAAGCTGCCCGTCTGTAGAGCTGTTGAGGAGGAAGAGAAAGCAGAGAAGCCCGAGCAGCTCCACTTGGACAAAATCAACAACCTGCTAACTGAGTGCCTGAAGCTCATCGAGGAGGTGTGGATGGGAAAGTGGTAGCTTGAAGAGGCTTCTCTTCCCTTGGAGCATCCCAGGAGATGAGGGCCACGTGCTCACACGGGTGTAGAGCAAGGATTCTTGCTTGTCTCGGGAAAAGTAAAAGTCCTAATGCTCCATTCACCCCTGGAGTTATGGGGATCGGCCAAAGGCACGCAGGGCGGTGACAAGGACAATGGTGACACCCAGTAACGTGGCCTACGTGTGTCCCTGTTGTCCTGGTACTGGTCTGCAGCAGGATTTCTGCAGCAGCAGCCCAGGCTGTGTGAGCCACCCTGAGACGTGTCCCTGGTGGACATCACCCCTGGCAATGCCACCTGCTAGCCCAGTGCCGGGGGCTAGTGGCCCTGCTACTGCCTGCACTGGCGAGCCTCTCCCTCAACATCCCCCTGCAGAGCTTATTTTACTGAGGGAGAAATGGAGGCAGAGAAATGATCTGTCCAAGGTCATGCAAGAGACTTGTAAAAAGCAAAATCCGGGCTCAGACCCTGCCTCTTTTGCCCGGGAGCGCTGGCCCTCAGGGGTGGCCCCGTTCTTCACACCTTGTCCTTGTTTCGCAGGGTGTCCAGTCAGAGGAGTTCTCTGCAATTCTGTCCCACGAGCCCCGAGCAGAGAAATGCGCCAAGTTCTGGATCTGCAAAGCGAAACTGCTCGCCCGGAGCGGCCCCTTTGACGTGATGGAGCTGTACAAAGCTGCAATCTCAGCCGGTGCTACCGTGAGTAGGGAGTGCCGGGAGCGCTTCCCCTTGGTGGCTCCCTGCGATGCCTGCCCTGTGCCAGCGGGTCACATCGAGACAAGGGGCAGATTTTGGGCTTGGATTCCAGAGGAGGGCTGGGAGGCCAAGTGCCCTGGGCTGTGGCTGGAAGCAGCACGATGGCAGCTCCGTGCCTGGGCGGTGTAACAGCGGTGTCTGGTGGGATTTACCAGCGGGGCTGTGTCCGCCCCGCAGCGTGCTCACAGCTCTGACTTAGGGCAGGGCAGCGCTGCAGCCGTCAGCCTCTCCCTCCAGCACAGGGTGCAGCGGCAGCAACCTTTTCTCCTGTTCTCTTTGGAATATTCTTTGTTCCTGAGTCATGCCTGCCTTGACCTGTGTTTGGCTTTTCTTGCAGCCACTCCAGGAGCTCAGAGATGTTGTCCTTGATATTCTGAAGACTGCAGGCCAACCGCCAGGAGGTAACACACGCACGGAGGGGCCGGCTGGCAGGCTGGGGCTCCCTGCTGCTGCGGGCAGGGAAACAGCACGGTTTGCAGCCTGTCTCTGTGCCCGGTGTCCCTGTTGACTTTGATGGTGACGGAGCATTGTCAAAGTCCAGAATCCTGATCTCAGAAACGGGGCAGGAGTCCTCTGCTGGGGCCAGGCCTCTAGCGAGGTGCCCTGGGCTGCAGGCCACAGCGCTGCGGCGCTGTGAGCCTGCTCCAGCTCTGCCCTCTCCACAACCGTGCTGCCCTTTTCCTCTCTCCTCTCAGGGGAGAATGCTGAGCAGCCCGTGCCCTGGGAGCCCACAGCGCCTTGCCTGGCAGAGAGGGAGCACACGGAATCGACTCCCAGCATGGCGGGGAGCTCCCTGCCCAGCCTGCCCATCTCCTCCATCAAACTGCAGGTGACATCCATACCCAGGTGAGCGGAGCTGCCCGCTGCTGGCAGCAAGCACCTTCTCCCCGTGCCAGTGCTCCTGCCTGCAGGGTTTACCTCATGGCTCTTCTCCCCGCAGGGGAAGGGAGCTGCCAGAAGGCCAGGAGCTGAAATTCCTGACGCCGGTGCGGCGCTCGCTGCGGATAGAGAGGGCCGTGAGCTGCTACCCGGTGATGCTGAAGGACCACGACCCTGTTGTGTCATCCCTCAATGAAATCCTGGATGACGAAGAGGACACGCAGTACTTCTTCCGGAAAAACAAGGCTTTGCCGGAGGTGGCAGAGATGGAGGTTTTGAAGTTGTAGCCCTGATTTTGAAGTTGTAGCCCCAAAGTGCTCCCCGAGGGGCGCTGGCTGCCCCATGCTTCCTGCTGTCATGCACTTACTTTACCCACTTCTGTTGCCTCTCAGATGTAAATACGTAGGGGTGGCATGTAATTAGCCTTTTCCATTGTTTTCAAATATTAAATAACTTGCAGCAGAGGTGCGGTGTGGCCTATGCGTAGTGCGTGAGGTCCGGGATGGGAGGCTTGGGCTCCTTGCCCTTGGGGCTGCCCGTGGCTCTGCTCCGATGCACGCCCTAGGTTTTGTGCTCATCGTTGGGTCCCTGTGATGCTCCAGCACCCCCTGGTGCTTCAGGAAGCGGTGTCCCCAGGGCTTTGCTCCAGTGCCCTGCCTGCCTGACATCTCCCTGGCACGCACAGACCCTGTCCTGGACAGCCAGAGCCACACATGGTGGCACCAACTGTGCCAGACTTGTGCCATGCTCTAGCCCCCAGGAGAGGTTGGAGGTCCTGGGGTGCCTGAAGGATCGCAGCAGCTTGGGCACAAGCCCCCACGGATGCAGCCATCATACACAGATGGTGGTCTGCCCCCTTTTGGGGGTCCTTGGGGTTTGCCAGGCCTGAGCTCTGTGCGTGGCAGGGGCTGGGGGAGGCCAGGGGGTGCAGCTGGGCCCTGTTGGTGCGCTCAGGACCCTTCTGGCAGCACGGCCCCATTTCCCTACTGTGAGAGGGGTGAAACGGTGTTGCTGCCATAAAGCACAGGGCAGAGCCCCAGCCTTCGTCTTCCCATCTCACCACAGCCACCGCTGGCTTCGCTCAGCATCTTTACTGGGAAGCCTCGATGGCTGAGGTGCCGTATCTGGAGGTCCTGGTGCAGGATGTGGCCCTGCTGGCAGCGAGGGGGCTGGCTCGGGGCTGCTGCCCCCTGCCCGGGGGCCTGCACACAGTCCCAGCTGCTGGATTAGGATTTGGGAGTCGTGCTTTGCTCCCATCTCCCAAGCTCTGGGGCAAAAGTTTTCCTCATAACTGATTTTATGTCTCTTCCACTTTATGACACCAATAAAGCTTAGCCAGGAGTTAAAGAACCTTTTATAAATAAAGGGTGAAAACAGAAGAGAAGAGAAGGGCACTGCTGTGCGGGGACAGGATGGGGCCACCGATCGTCCTGCAGGCGGCTTCGGTCCTCTGGGCTCACTGAATGCCCTCGGGGGGCTGGCACCCACCGAATCGGCAACCAGCGGTGCTGCTACGGGCTCAGGCCTCGCCATCCTCTTCCTCCTCCTCCTCTTCCTCCCTGCTGGAGTCCTGGAGGACCCCTGTGACCTGAGACAGAGGAGAGGGCTCAGTGGGCACAGGACCCAACTGGGGTCATTGGGGTGCCAGCGCCGGGCCAGGACTTGCCCACCTCCACGGCGTCCACGGGGCCGTGCTCCACCGTCGACTCGTGGGCCATCTGCAGTGGAGAGAGGGGTGGCGAGAGGGGCTGGCACCCAGCACCCAACGGGCTGGGGTCCTCCAGAGCCCCCTCAAGGCAGGAAGGGAAACTGAGGCACGGCGTGGGGGCAGGAGCTGCATACCAGGACGGAGGGCGCCCGGAAGAGGTAGCTGAAGGGATAGTAGAGGAAGTTGACGAAGGAGGCGGCGTAGAGGTCCGCGTAGCGCATCAGCTGGTTGGCGAAGAGGGTCTGGCGCGAGCCGCAGCGGAAGAGGCTGCCCATCTTCCCGTAGCACATGTCCATCTCGTGCGTGACTTTCTGCGGGCACGGCAGGATGGTCAGGGCACCCAGGTGCCGGGGTGCTGGATGTGGGGGCACAACCGGGGATGGGTCCCTGGGGGTCACCTGGATCCGACGCTTGATGGAGCTGATGTCCGGGCGCTCACTGCTGCCGCTGTCCAAGTGCCTGCAGTGGGAGCCAAGCTCTGAGCAGGGTCTTACAGCTCACCCGAGGGTCCTCCACGTGTCTCCTCCAGGTCCCTGCACCCCGTGGTGCCCCAGCCACAGCCCCCCCGTGCCCACTCACTGGTACAGCTCCGCCAGGAAGAGGTCCAGGCTCCGCAGCTCCTCAAACAGCTCTGCAATAGCAAAGGGTCCAGCTCAGCACAGGCACCGGCCCCGGCACGGCCACCACAGGGTGCTGGGACACGTCCCGCCCTGCTCGGCTGTCCCCAGGTCTGCTTTTGTCACCGAGGGGGGTTGGAGGTCCCGGGTTGGAGGGCTGCCCCCCAGCCAAGCCCTGCTCACCGCTCTTCTCCGTCCACACCTGCAGCTCGCGGGCCAGCTCGGGCACCACCAGGAAGGTGCGCCAGCCCTGCCGCTTCTTGGACTTGAGGATGTCCCCGAAGATGTGGTCCCCCATGTACAGGATGTCTTTGCCCTTCACACCCAGCAGGTCACACACCACGTCCGAGGAGCCTGTGCCAGCCACACATCAGGGCACGGCGCTGCCGTGTCCCCGCGCCACCGCGCAGCCCGGCCGGGCACTCACCGCCGGAGTAGACGGCGCAGTGCTGGAGGGGGCCGGTGTATGTCCCGATGCGCAGCTTCCCCGTGTCCTGTGGGCAAAGAAGGCCCCGTGGTGGAGCTGTCACCTGCGCCGGAGCCACCAGGCTGTGCCCACACTGTGCGAGGGGTTTGGTGGCAGGAGGGTGGCACGCGGCGGCCGGGTCCCCACCGTGTTGACTTGGCGCAGGACGGTGCCCTCGGCGAAGAAGAGCGGCTTGCGGGTGTCCACCACGATGAGGTCGAAGTAGGAGCGCCAGGGGCGCTGCGGGGTCTCGGCCTGCCAGGGAGCAGGGTATGGCGTGGAGGGGGGGTGACAAGAGGGGGTCACGGATGGCGGGGGGCTGCTAACAGCACCCCCAGCACGGCCTCACCTTGTCCCCGTCACTGAAGTCGAACAGGTAGGACATGATGGCCTGCAACGACAGCCGGGGTCACTGCCACCACACCACCCCTCAGGAGGGCAGCTGTGGGGTGGGGGGGCTGTGCTCTGTGCCCTCTCCCCCCAGGGGTGAGGGTGCTGCTACTCACGTCGGTGTAGTTGTAGTCGCTGTTGGTGGCCAGGAAAACCTTCCCCACTTCCTTCATGCGGCTCAGCAGCAGGGGCACGCGGGGCTGGCGAGGGCAGAGTCAGGGCACTGGGGGCCGGGGGGGGGCATGGGGGCCTGGCTTTGGGGTGTGGGGGGGCTCAGAGGCACTCACATCTTTCACCACGTATTTCTCCAGGTTCTCCAGCGTCTTCTCCTTCAGGCAGCCCTGCAGAGGGGACGGGTGGTACGAGCTCGGCATGGTGCCAGCATCCAGACATCTTTTGTCCCTCCCACCCCCCCCTTCCAAAAATCTTCTGGGGGTGAAGCCATGGCCATGGTGTCCCCCGAACCCTGCCCGTGGCACCCACCGAGAGATGGACTTGGTCCATGGCCTCGCGCACGTCCTGGAACATGCTGCGGAAGGACATGAAGAGGTTCCCGTGCTTGTACCCGGTGTCGCAGCTGCAATTGGGGGAAAAAATGGAGTGTGAAGGTGACGGGAGGCCCCCTGAGACCCCCTCCTTACCCAGACTGCCACTGGGGGGGTGCCACGTCCTGTCCCCTCCCCCATTTCCCTCTTACTTGATGTATCTGGAGCAGTTGCTGAAGAAGTCCACGAGGCAGGCGTAGAGGTAGGTCTCTGCCAGGGAAAGCGGCCGTGAGTGGGGGCAAGGCCACGGGAGGGCTTGGGGGGTGAGGCTGGGGGGGGGGTCACTCACCCGTGAGGTTGAAGAGGGTGTTGAGGATGTGGAAGCGCTTCATGTCGTCCCGCTGGATGAACTTGTTGGGGTAGTAGTGGAGGATTTCGGCCCTGGGGAGGGGGCACGGAGCCACTGTGAGTGTGGGGAGCACCTGGCCGGATCCTGCCCCTCCAACCACAACCCAAAACCTCACTGCCTGGAGCCTGAGGGACCCCTGCGACCCCCCCGAGCCCAGAACTCACCCCTTGAGGAAGCGGAAGCCGTGGGCGCAGACCAGCAGGTTCCCGTGCGAGTCCACCTTCAGCAGGTTCCCGTACAGGGCGTCGAACACCAGCCCCCTGCGGCACGGACCCCCGTGAGCACGGTGTGGGACGGAGGGGGGGGTCCCGGTGCCCCTGCCACACGCGTGTCCCCCCGATCCCGTCCCCAAAGCCCGCCGGCACTCACCGGGTGGGGAAGGTGGGGTCATACTTGTAGGCGAGGATCTCGTGGGGGTACCCGATGGAGACGAGGTGCTCCAGCAGCAGCTGGAAGGCCAGCTCCTCGTAGTCGGGGGACTTGTACACTGCAGCGGGCAGGGGGATGGCGTGGGTGCGGGCTGGGGGTGGGGGCAGCACCCCAAAATCTGCCTACGTCCCCTCCCCTCTGCCCCACGCACTGGCCAAGGTGTAGTCCATGTCGAAGCCGAAGCACTTGATCTTCTCCAGCGCCAGGCTGCGGTTCACGAAGATCCTGAGGGCGACCGGGGGTCAGCACTGGGGGCGTTTGGGACGCAGCGGGGGGAGCGCAGACCCCCCACGGCAGGTGCCCAGTCCCTTCCCCAGGCAAGGGGCCCCGCGGAGAGTTATCAGAGCAGAAAAAGGGGCTTTTCATCAGAAAAAAAAGGGCTTTCAGTAGAAAAAAGGGCTTTTCAGCTGGAAACGGAGCCACGGTGGGCTGGGGGCGCAGGGCATGGACCCCCCCCGTTTGCTCAGGACGAGTGCAAGGGGACCCCGGCCTCACCGCCCCCTACGCCCAAATTTGCCCATCTCCCCCCAGATCCTCCCCCCGCCCCTCCGGCCCCCCCCCCCCGCCCCACCGGTGCTGGCAGTCCCTCCGCAGCGCTCGGGGGTCGCCCTGCCCCGGGCCCCTCTCGCCCTCGCTGCCCATCACCGCCGCCTCCGGCCGCCTCCGGCCTCCGCCCGTTTTAACGGGGCCCCGCGCCCCGCCCCGGCCCCCCGGCCCCGGCCCGGCCCCCGGTTCCCCCCCGGCCCCGAGGCAGCGGCGCCCTCCCACGGCCACGGCCCCGACGGCGCCAGGAGGCTGGGGGCGGCCCGGTGCCCCCGGGGCAATCATTAACCAAGGGTCAAGGCCCGGCCCCGCACCGCCCCCGGCCTCTCCCCCTCGGCCCTACACGAGGGAAGCCGCGGGGAAGCACCCCCCAAAACCCCAAATCCATGGGGCCAGGCCCCGGGGCTGGGAGTGGGGGG